CGGAATGCCGCCCGCTCTCGTGCGGCCGCCTCCGCCCCCGGGAACCACGATCGGGAGGCGGGGGCGTCGCCTTTCCCGCCTTCGGCGAGAATTGCGGCGAGGGGAGCCCAGGCCGCAGCGAATTCGGCCCATCGCTTGTTCTGCTCTCCGGAGGGTGGAAGCGCAGAGAGCGCGGCCTTTGCGACAGCGAGGCCGCCTCCAGAGTCCTTCGCCGCCCCAGGTCAGCCTGCCCCTCTGCCCCCCCCCCCCCCTCCCCGAAACTCCCAACTGTCCAGGGGCCTCCCGTTGAAGCAGGGGACGCGGGGCCCGCCCGCGGGAGGGAGAGACGGAAGGGAGAGGTGGTTTTGTCGGACGCCCATCGGCGATTGCCGCCCTTAGATGAGGATTTGTTCGGGGCCCTCGGCCTTAGCGACCCCCCGTGTAGGTCGCCCTGTGGTCGGAGGGTCCTGGGCAGAGTGTCTCACCCGCCCCATGTGCTGTGGACCAAGGGTGCGCGCCCCGCCGTTCTGGTCCTGCGCGCGGCAAATACTCGCCCTCTACCAAGCTTGGGAACTTAGGCTCAGGATCTGAGAGTGCGCTGTTTGGAGACCAGTCCTTGGTCAAGGCGCGGCATGCATCTCTCATGAGGCTGAGGAAGGGGCTTCCTCCCAGGTGTGGCGTCAGCAATTGAGGTTACTGCGTTGTGGGCGACTAGCCCGCGCACCCTTTCGTCCCAGTGGGCGGCGGAGGTTCTGGCCCTGCCTCCCTTTTATCCAGCGGTGTCAATCCTTTTTGGCTGCTTGCGCTGCTGCTGCTCCTAGCATAAATCCCCTCTCCTCGGGGCATGGGCATGGCGCGGAGGATCAGCGCCCAATCGCCAGCTCATCGTCGATCGGGGCGTGATCTCCAGATCAACGTGAGTCCCGTCCAGGTTGCTTTCTTCCAATCGCGCTCTCTCTTTCTCTCTCTCTCTCTCTCTCTCTCCACCTCTCCTCCCCCTCCCTCCTCCGCCTCCGCCTCATTATATTTTCCCGGAAAGGGCCTGGGCCCAGGGTTCTCTTTTAGTAGATTTACCCCCCGGTTTTTACTTGAAGGGGGCCGGCGAATTTCTTTTGCGATAAATTACGAGGTCGAAGGGGACCGGCGAATTAAAATTGTGAGGACGAAGGCCATTTTTCGCCACCCCTCACGCAGATCGTGTTCTTGGAATTTTACTGCCTTTAAGGAAACCTCGATATTTCACAGGTGAAGTCAACTTTTGTCCGACATCGACTTTAAACGATAAAAAACTAGGTAAACGCGTTCGCTAGATGAATAACGAGGTACCGCGGCCTCCAGAACGGCGCTGGGAACGGAGTTTTGGATTCTTGAAGTTGCATAAGTTCGGAAATAGCAGAAATCCCCTGTGTTTTTGGACCCTGACCCCGCGGATCTGCGTGAGGGGTGGCACCGAATTTCAGAAATGTGGCAAATCCCTTGTGTTTTTGGACCCTGACCCCGCGGATCTGCGTGAGGGGTGGCACCGAATTTCAGAAATGTGGCAAATCCCTTGTGTTTTTGGACCCTGACCCCGCGGATCTGCGTGAGGGGTGGCACCGAATTTCAGAAATGTGGCAAATCCCATGTGTTTTTGGACCCTGACCCCGCCGACCTGCGTGAGGGGTGGCACCGAATTTCAGAAATGTGGCAAGTCCCATGTGTTTTCGGACCTTGACTTCGCCCAGGAGAGCTCCAGGAGAGGGAGAGCCCAGGAGGAGCCCAGGAGGGCCCAGGAGGACCCAGGAGGCTGCTCCAGGAGGCTCCAGGGCCCAGGAGCCCAGGAGGCTCCAGGAGGCTCCAGGAGAGCCCAGGAGGGCCCAAGAGGTCCAAGGAAGACCCAGGAGGGCCCAGGAGCCCTTGCGAGGGATCGTGGCCCTGGGAGCGCTGGCGTAGCGTAATTTACGAGGGATCGTGGCTCTGGGAGCGCGGGTGTAGTGTAATTCATACTTTGTTGAGGATGTCTCGACTAATTTGTTTGTTTGGCAAGGAATTCTTGTGGATTTGGACAGGATGTCTCGAGCGAAACGCTTGTTTTTCAGAATTGGTTGAGGATGTCTCGAGCGAAACGCTGGTTTTGCAAATTGGAGGGATGTCTCGAGCGGGGGCCTCGTGGGGTGCCAGAATTCACATGATGTCTCAGGCGAAATGCTTGTTTTCACGTCCCGCTCGCAGGAATTCAGAGAATGTCTCGCGCGTGCCGCGTCCCGCGCGCAGGAATGTTGAGGATGTCTCGACTAATTTGTTTGTGTGGCGAGGAATTCTTGTGGTTTTGACAGGATGTCTCGAGCGAAGCGCTTGTTTTTCAGAATTGGTTGAGGATGTCTCGAGCGAAACGCTGGTTTTGCAAATTGGGGGGATGTCTCGAGCGGGGGCCTCGTGGGGTGCCAGAATTCACATGATGTCTCAGGCGAAATGCTTGTTTTCACGTCCCGCTCGCAGGAATTCAGAGGATTCACGTCACGCTCGCTTGGCACGTTCCGTGGGGCGTCCCTTGGCGAGTCCCCTTGGCACGTCGCGTGGCGCGTCCCCTGGCACATCCCGTGGCACATCCATTGGCACGTTCCGTAGCGCGTCCCCTTGGCACGTCCCGCGGTGCGTTCCCATGGCACGTCCTTGGCACGTCGCTTGGCGCGTCCCTTGAGACGTTCCGCGGCGCGTCCTCCTGGCATGGTCCCCTGTCCATTAGCTCTGGGGCAGCTACTATGTGTTCAGGCAGCTCGAGCTTAAGATCCAGATCAGTTCGGTCAGGACTCGGATGCAAAGGAGGACTCGATCCACGAGGCTATAGAGCACAATCGCGCCATGGCACATCGCAATTCAGCACGGCGCAGCACAGCACAGCCCTTCGGCACGGTACATCAAGATCGATACACTCAGCATTGCAATTTGGCACGTTCCTTGGCACGTTCCGTGGGGCGTCCCTTGGCGAGTCCCCCTGGCACGTCGCGTGGCGCGTCCCTTGGCACATCCCGTGGCACATCCATTGGCACGTTCCGTAGCGCGTCCCCTTGGCACGTCCTACGGTGCGACCCGATGGCACGTCCCTTGGCACGTCGCCTGGCGCGTCCCTTGGGACGTTCGAGGCGCGTCCTCCTGGCATGTCCCCCTGTCAATGAGCTCTGGGGCAGCTACTATGTGTTCAGGCAACTCGAGCTTCTGATCCAGATCAGTTCGGTCAGGACTCGGATGCAAAGGAAGACTCGATCCACGACGCTATAGAGCACAACCGCGGCATGGCACATCGCAATTCAGTACGGTGCAGCACAGCACAGCCCTCGGCACGGTACATCAAGATCGATACAATCAGCATTGCATTTGCCCGTCACCCAATCAGGTGTCTTTGAAAACGTTGCCATGCTTTACATTTCTATATATTCCTTTCCAGGTTCGTGGGTCGATCATGTTTCCTCCTCGTCCTGTTCCTCCTCCTCCTCCTCCTCGTTCTGCTGTTCCTCCGTGTCTTCCTCTTCCTCTTCCTCCTCATTATCTTCCTCTTCCTCCTCATCCTCCTCCTCTTCCCCCTCCTCTTCCTCTTCCTCCTCCTCCTCTTCCTCCTCCTCCTCCTCCTCCTCCCCCTCCTCTTCCATTTCCTCCTCCGCCTCCTCCTCCTCCTCCTCCTCCTCTGGCCTCATCCTCCTCCTTCCCACTCACGCCCTCTTCTCCCTCCTCCTTCCTCCTCCTGGTCCTGTTACCTCCCCCTCTTCACTCCTCCTTCTCTTCCCTCCTCCCCCTCCTTCCTCGACCTTCTCCGTCGCCCCGCTCGTTCACCCCCTCCTCCGCCGACTGCCAGGCGAGGATCGCCCCCACCTGCGCGAGGGTGGCCACGCTTCGCGCGACGCGGCGGGGGCCGCCGAGATGCCCTTTTCCAGGGCTCGGGCGCGAGGGCACAATGCGGACCAGCCAGAATTGAAAGCCTTACGGCCCGCGCCGCCGAACCTGTATGCGAGGGGGAAAGGGAGATGGAACAGGACAGGAGGGGGGGGCTGTTGGGTCTTCCAGAGTCTTGGGTTTTCCTGGGGGCCTCTCGATGGCCTCTCAGGACCTCTTAGGGCCCACTGGGAGGCTCTGGGGCCGAAGCAAAGTGTCTTGTTGGTTCCCCCGTGTGGGCGCGTTCTGGGAACCGTCTCGGGGACCCTTTGTTGGGCCGTCTTGGAGGCATCTTGGGCTGTCTGGGGTCGTCTTGAGTCGATTCGGGGCGCTCTTAGAGACTTTGGGGCAACATTCGTCAAAATGCGCGCCCCCGCATCGCGGAGCGCGGTGCACCAAGCACCGGCAATAATTGGGGGAGTTGTGGTCATTACCCCCTTTCTTTGGGGGGACATCGATTTCGGTACTTCTGGCGAGCCATCGTCGATACGATGGGTTTCCTCAGAGGGGTAAGGAACACAGCTCCCGCAGTTGTGGCTGGTCGGCGATGCGCAAAGCTGACTGGCCTCGGCGTGGCCTTCGCCGCCCCCACCCCCGAGATCCGACGTTGCGACAAGGTTGCAGCATCGCAGAAGATCACGACTGGAGCCCTGGACCAATTGTTTTTGCTGCAAGTCTCGGGCCATCTAGATATGTGATGATCCGGGGCCCCGAAATTGGCCGAAACGACGGGTGCATGAAAATTGCACCACCCAGGTCTCACCCACTTCCTCGTCCCCCTCCTTGTTTCACAGTGTTTCACGCATCAGGCGCCTCGGCGCCCCCTCCGCCGCGCCTTCATGGCGCCGCGCGTGCGGAGTCGTTGCCGTAGATCTCAGGGTTTCCCGAAGAGCCGCCAGCGGGCGAATGTGTTTCATCACCATCATCAACAGCAACATCATCATCACGTTGTCATTCGTCGTCAGCATCATCATCGTCATCATCAGCAGCAGTACCACCATCACATTCATATGCATCGCCGTCACACCGTCATCCTCACCATCCTCATCTTCATCATCAGCAGCAGCAGCATCCTTAGCAACACCACCACCACCCTCGTGGCCCCCCCTCGAGAGGCCGCCAGCGGTCTGGTGTGCTTCCAGTTTGTGCAGGGCCACTCGTCCAACTTCGTGCGCGTGCTGCACCTGTCCGCCGTGGGCGGGGGCCCTCCTGGCTCGGGCCGCGAGGCCTCCAGCAGCGCGGACGTCGCCGCCGCCGCTGCCGCCGCCTTCGCCGCCGCCGCCGCCCCGAACTGGAGAGGAAAAGGCGGGAGGGACGGTCACCGGTGGCCCAGAGGAGTCGGCGAGTACCGAGCGATCTGGCGATCGGCATGCCGCTCATCGATCAGTTCGGAGCGATGCACCCGGTTTCAGAAACCAGCGCCGGGGTCGTCACGACGCGAACTTGCCATAGCAAAGGAACAGTCGCCCGCGATCGTCGGCGGCGCCGAATTGGCGCGACAAGCGGGGGGACACATCCTGGGCGAGGACCACTTGTGGCAACCCCCGCGCCGGCCGCCCCTTTTCCCCTCCGTCCTGCCCCCCCTCCGCCTCCATAATTTTTCCCCTCCCTCCTGCCCTCCCTAGAATTTTGGCTCAAGATGTTGAGGTTCTCCTTGAAGAAAGTGGATACCCCTAGTCCGCGGTTTGTATCAACTTCTCGGTCAATTCGCCCTGACCCGAGTTTTTCTGTGGTGCGCCCGTGGGTCTGGCAATGCTCGTTTGCCGGTTCGCCTTGGCATGGTGCGCCAGTCGTGTCGCTATTGGTTGAACTTCAAGAACAATGATTGGTGCTACGGGTGCGCGGCGGCGATGGTGAACAACCCCGCTCCTTTCCGTCGGCCTCAGGGGACATGGGCTTTCGGTCTGCCAGCCATTGCCAATGAAGGTGAGCTCCACAAGAAGACAGCCCGCCGCCGTGGTCGCTCCAGATTGAAGGGCCCCTGTTGGTTTTAGCATTTTCATGGGGAGGGGGGGGGGCGCGCATGGTTTTCATAAGGGGGCCCACGTATTGATGCAGCCTTTTTTATGCGCATGTGTGGAGGGCCCACGTGTGGATTTGACATCCGGAGGGCCCGTAGATTGGTTTAACATATGGCGGGAAAACGTCATGGCTTCACATCACCATGGGCCACGCTGTTTCCATATGCGGGCGACCCACATTTTGATATCATGCGTGGAAGGTCCACAGAACCAGCTTGCGGAGTCCATCGCGACCCCGTCCTGCAGGAGCCAGGACGTGCGTCACATGTGTTTTCTTCGGGTATATTGTGGATCGTATTATGTTTGATGTATGCGTAAGGCTTCGCCCGTTGCCGCCGGCCCCTTCTCTCTCTTTCTCTTTCTCTTTCTCTTTCTCTCTCTCTCTCTCTCTCTCTCTCTCTCTCTTTCTCATTCTCTGAATGGGGTATGCCAGAGCGTGGGATGAATGTGCACCGTCGTGAAGGAATGTCGGAACTTTGCGCGAGGGTCAACGGTGGCGCCCAAACCATCGGTGGTCTTCGGGCACGAACGTCGACCGCGGGCGCGTTCAACCTGGCGGACTGGGTCAGGGAGTGGAAGTGGACAACCGTATGGGTCAGGGGTGATCGCGCCCAGTTTGGTGGAGCAGTCACGTGGAAAGCCCGGCAAATTCGAGTAGTTTACCAATTGGGCGCCGCGTAATGGGGGGGTCATAAATGGGGGGGCGGCGAGGGTGGCCCGAAAAGGTACCCAAACGGTACCTAAACGAGCCCCCTGGGGCTCCGGGGGGGCCCGAAAGGGGCACGAAAGGGGACCTTTTCTGACCCCCCCATTTGTGACCCCCCCATTAAGCCACGCCCAAACCAACTTGGAGGCCAAGCAAGCTCCGCGAGGTCGAGGCGGCCTCTCTGCCGCCCGCCCTCGCAGCAGAAGGACGTCGCCACCGAAGGTGCGGCGCGCGGCCGTGCCCCGGCGCGGTTGGAGACCTGCCCGCTCGGTGGCTGTCTCCGGCAAAGTTGTGATCATGTCATCCCTGGGCTTGGGCCATCGCGTTTGCGCCGAGCTTCAGGGGCGCGGATTGCTCGCCCGCTTTGCCAGTGCGGGTGCCGGTCTGGGCACTGATACCAGCGCTGGCAAGTTCCGCGCAGCGGCCAATTCCAGGCCTAGGCCGAGAGCGGCCGGTCGAGGACGAACGCTTCAAGAAGCTTCCCCCGGGGCTCTGGGCAACGGGGGCCTCTCCCCGAGGCTCGCGCGCCATCCAGGCGCAAGGGCTCGCGCCCAGCATCGCCCTTGAGCGCGAGCATGCCGCTGCGGCGGCGCGCGGCAGACGTCCCCGAGCGCTGCCCCGCCGCGGCCTGGGCCGCAGATATCGGTCTCGAGGGCCCCGGGATCGAGCTTCGCAGGCCGCTGATTTCCGGGCTTCTGGTTCGCCGCCACGGGCGCGCTCACCTGGGCGCCGGGACCCGGAGGGCCCCCGGGTGCCATTCGTCTCTTCCTCCTCCTCCTCCTCCTCCTCCTCCTCCTCCTCCTCCTCCTCCTCCTCCTCCTCCTCCTAGCCGCTTCGGGCTCGCGAGGTTTCTCGCGCGCCTTGCAGGTGCCATTCTTCGGAGCGGCAGCGCGCCTGCGAGCCTTTTCTTTCGCTCCCATCCACCCCCGCACAGGTGGATGGCCAGTCCCGCTCATGATGTGCTGCCAGGACCGACCCGCCCCTTCTGGGGCTGCCCGTCCTGCGGCGCGTCCGCCAACTATGCATCGCGCATTCGGTGCCGATGCGGCCGCCCTGCCCCGCAGTCTGTCGCAGACAAGGCGCGCAAGGCGGCCAAGCAGATGGAAGCCGGTGGGCCGTCTCATGCTCCTGGGGCTGCAGGTGGTCGCCGCCGTGCTGGGAGTGCGTGGGCGGCAGGACCGCCAGGCAGTGTGGATGGTGGCATCGCCCGTGAGCTCGCCGAGCTCAAGCGCAAGTACGCCGCCCTCCAGAAGTCCCAGGCCGTGCCCACTCCCGTGCCTGCGCCTCCGCCCGATCCGCTCGATCTTGAGGTACAGCGCTGGGAAGGTATCGTTGCCCAGTTCGCCAAGTCTGGCTTGGGCGCTGACGTCCCCAGCCGTGTCAGTGCCGAGCAGTCTCTGGCCGCGGCGCGCAAGGCTCGGAATGATGCCAAGCCACAACTTGCACGCCACACCACCCTCGGGCACAAGCTGCAGGATGCGATCAAGCGCCATCAGAAGCTCGAGTCCGACGTCAGTGCGCAGGTCAAGGTCGTCGAGGCCGCCGAGGAGCACCTCCGTGAGCTCAGGGCCAAGGTGCTGGCCGCCAAGGACCTGGTGGCTACCCTCCAGGAGGAGCTGCGCGAGTCTTGCCCTAAGGACCTGCGCCCTGAAGGGAGTGATGCTACCTCCTTCGTGCTGCCCGACCTCCCGACCACCGTGCTGGAGGCCGACGCCGACCTCAAGGCCATGGTGGAGTCGCCTGTCTTTGACAAGTTCAAGGAGGCTGTGCGTGCGGCTGCTGCCGCCCAGGCAGCCGCCGCTGGCCCAACCGTCGGGGATGAGGGCACCGACTGTGGTGAATCGGTTCCCGTCCCTGAGGATGATGATGTGTACCTTGACGTCGACGAGGAAGGCATCTCCCAGGTCATCTCCACTACCAAGTTTGCTGGTGACAAACGGGAGCTCCAGGAGTTGTTCAAGTCCCTCGGCCTCGTCACCAAGAAGCAGCGGCGGGGGTGATCCTCACCATGGTGCAGTACACCCGCGGGTCTGTGGCCTGCCGTTGTCGTGTATGAGGCTACCAATACCCCCGATTTGCAGGAAGAAGTTGCCGCCGACATCGACGGCGACACAGTTCATCGAGACTTTCAATGGCTCTGGGTGGTCCACGCTACGTGAGCGGCTCACCACGACTACCAGTGTCATCGTGTGCGCCCAGGAGCTTGGCTTGTCCGAGCTCACAGCGCCCCAGTCCCTGGCCGCGGTGCGCGCCCTGGGCTGGCGATTCCTCATCAGTGAGTCGTCCTTCAACCCCGCGACGCAGAGGTGCTCGGCTGGGGTTGGAGTTTTTGTTCGTGATGGGTTTGGCTTGCGATGGACTGACCCAGCGTGCAAGGCTATTGTGCCACATCGTGCCATACAGGTTACCATTGACCTCCCTGGTTTCTCGTTCAACATCGTGTGTGCCTATTTCCACGTCAATGACGGCATGCGTGAGAAGAATCTGTCCATGCTCAGCGCGATCGGCGCCAAGATCATCCAGCCTCCGCTCACGGTCATTGCGGCAGATTGGAACAACTCACCTGCCGCCGTCGAGGCCACGGGCTTTGTGCAGAAGGTCAAGGCCGTCATCATGGCGCCTGCTGCAATCACCTGCCGTACCAGTTCGTCTACGTCCACGATTGATTTCTTCGTTGTAGGGCATGCTCTGTCTACGCTGGCTGCCAGCATCTTTGTGGACAGCACGTGGCATGTTAGACCGCACCGTCCTGTTTTGCTTGAGCTGCGTGCTAATGCACTTCAGGTCCGTCAGTTGGTCTTTCGGCGTCACAGTCGAATCCCCACCCACCTCCCGATCGGCTGTCCTCGTCCCCCTCCCCCGTGGGCGTTGTCAGAGCGCCTCCTGCCCAAGCTGCAGTTTTTGTCTGAGCATGGCTCCTCTCAGGAGGCCTGGGCTCTCATGAATGAAGTGTGGTCTCTCTTTGCCAATGCTGCCGAGCAGGAGCTACTTGACGTTTGCGATCTCCCCACCACCCGTGCGGGGTGGCGAGGAGCTCGCGTGCAGTCAGTCTGGGAGCCTATCGTCCATCGCCGACAGGAGCCCGATGATGGCACGCTGGTGGCTAACTGTTGGCAATGGATGTGCGGTATGCTCAGTGAGTTTTTGTCTCTCACGCGTCGTGATGATGTTGATTGGGTCTCGGGTGAAGGCGCTCACCATCTCCTGGCGGTGCGAGTTTCGCACGCGGGGGAGGGCTTGTGCGCCCGCCTGGACCGCTCGCTGGCGTCAGTACGCCTCCTGCTCACTCAATGGTCTCCGCATTTGCCTGGGGACAGCGAGTGGTGGGATACTGCTGATGCGCTCGCGGAGGAGCTCGCCACGGAATGTGATGAAGTCCAGGCGGAGCACTCCAAAGCCAGAGACCGCTCCTGGAAGGAGTGGCACATCTTGGCGCTCAGCGGCTCGGCCAGGCGCATGCATCGCCTGACCCGCATCAAGAAGCTGTGGGAGCCCACGG